TGTTCAAATAAATATATTGATATCTTGGACAGCAAATGACGGATTGTTTCAAAACTTGCCCTTTTTGTGCTACAATGATTGTTGTTCAATAAAACATATTCTCATTTGAAATAATTTAAGAGTGGAAAAATATTGAAGATTACTGCAAATATACCCTTATTTTCAGTGTAACGCGTAATATCTCATTTGCATAAATATAGAAAGAAGGCTTAATTTTGTGCTTAAAACCATAACAATTTGAAATTTCCATTATATCCATTTATTGAGTAGGACCAAAGTACACTGTGTGCAAAGTGACAGCGTTCAATGTCTGTTTTTTTTAAAACAACATGAATAAAAACTTGAATTCTCGTTGCCGTTGTGTGCTGTGTAACGCTATAGATCCAACAGAGCTTCACATCATACAAGTGCAGGTCTGGCAACTTGACCGCCAACCTAGAAATGAAGTTGATTTGCATGAGTAAGGTTCATAGACCTATTTGTCCTCTTGTAAAGTTATTTCTTCAAAATAAGCAACAGCAAGGACGAAATTAGTGATTTCCCAATTCGGAAATGATGTCGTCAATAAGTATCAACGAAAATGAAATACTACTTACCCAGTTAAAAGTGTGTATCTCAGCTTCCAGGTCACCTTGGCTGCCTAGACATCTCCACAACACAGTTCATGTAATCAAATACAAATCCCCAAAGTTTCAAAGCCGTCTGTACAATACAAACGAGGATATACGAAATAAACCAAATCGGAAACCTATATTCACTCTTGCCTGGTGTTTATCGAAGTGTAACGATCAAATTTCAAACTCGCTCTGCACAGAAAACTGCACAAGACGAAGCTCTCAAACCCCTAATTTTCCATTCAAATCGAGGAGTAAACATCGAAAGGCTCTTTTGTAACCTCTCCTCTGAATATGTGGGGTGTTTTGTGGACAATTTCAAGGTCTAAAACACATGCTGGATTGCTATGCCTACTTCAGTTCTTGCTATCCACCCGATTTCACAATCTTGAACAGAGCGGAATTAAAGGAGTTCTTCAAAGATGAATGGCAATAAGGAAAGCTCTTCAAGTGTTGAAAAGATGAAAAAGTGGAGAGAAAAAAGACAGAGAAAAAGAAAGAAGCTGACAGAAAGTATTACGAACAAAATCATGACGGAAAAAAAAGTGCATTTGTTCTTGCCGGAACTGTGAGACGTGTGTGGAGAACTAACGAGAAAAAGAAATAACATTTACAAAGTCCCTATGGATGTCAATGAAGAAATTATTGCCTCTTTGTAAATCCAGATAGTGTTGAAATATATTTATATATTGCATTTTAGTCATTATAGCCAGTGAAATCAAGTGAGAGTCAAATGCCACGCCCACAGAGGATTGTGGGTATTTAATAACTTCGCTTTAAAAATCTTACGAACATCACAAAACTCACTAAAAATGCTTTTATGATGATAACTAGCTTTTATCTGGCAAACAATAATATTTTTGGCACACTTGCTGCATTTTCATAAAAATGCCTTATGTTACACAAATGGGCACCATGATTGTGCTACAAGTCTATAAATAAGATAATATTAAACAATAATATTTTTGGCACACTTGCTGCATTTTCATAAAAATGCCTTATGTTACACAAATGGGCACCATGATTGTGCTACAAGTCTATAAATAATATGAGATAGCTTGTTTGATGTAGCAGGTTTTGCTTGATATTCCTTAATAGAGGGTTCACACGCAAAGGATTGCTCGTAAAGTTCACGGACCAAACCATTCCCAAAACACTCCACAAGTTTTAGTGTGGGTCTACTAATAACGGTGTAACTTTCTATGTATTTTGAGTGTAATAGCTATCGAATTTCTTTCGCGTACATCAAGCAAAAATTCAAGGAATTGTCCACGAAGGCAGCCATTGCTTTTAAACCATGTGCTCTAGAGTTCATGCTACGCATGCGAGAACTGCGTTTTGTGACTGAATGCCAAAAAAAAAAAAAAAACAAGCCGAATTTATACCTCGGGTGTTTCCTTCGGAAAGCCTGAGTAAAAACTGTGTGGGACTTATGATGTAATGCATATCAGTACAGTTTTGATGACAAACTAGAGAGAAGCATTACAAAGCAACCAATTGGAATAATGAAAATAGCCCCCCAAGGTTTTTAAGACCAACCCCTAAAGATTGAAATTGTGTCAAAGTTTTTTTTTCCTTGTGCAGGCAGATTTGATACTCATTTAATTTGCTCAAAGAAACTTCGTCTGTTTTGACGCCTTAATTCTTTGAAGATTTCATCAAGCTAAAATGAAACAATTTTTGCTGGAAAGTGCATTTCATAACCCTTCTATTGGTATATAGTTCAGGGTTGTCATTAGAAGCCAGTAGGCCGCGGAAATCCGCCGGCTGTCAGACAACTTTGCGCCAGCTACTTTGTGAAGCAGAATTTTTATAATATTGAGATCTGTCCTCCCAAGAAATCCTTCTTTTTGTAAATCTGAGGCTCAGTTTAGTGATCATTCTCTTGTATACTTCTGATGTTATGGAAGACAGAAAAACCTTAAAACCCGTAAGGGAAGTACGGTACAAAAACTATCAGTTGTATAGCTACAGCTAACTAATGAGTAATATGAAATGCGTGGCTGTCGCAAAGCATGAAACCATCGCAACTCACACGTGTGTTGAAAATGGATGGCCAGCGAAGACAACGATCTCTTTAAGATTACTTTTCAAGTCAATCGAAGAAGACGAAATCTAGCGAAAACAAGAGCCACCAAGGTAAGAAGGAGTTTCGATTGCTGTCAAATATCATAATTACGAAGCTCACCGAAGCATTTAATAATATTATATTTAATATAATATTATTAAATGCTATATTATTATTAACATTTAATAAGATATATCTCATTTAAATACAATAGCAAATTATTGCCGATCCACTAGATACTTTCAAAAGAGCTTTAAGAGGGTTGGAAAAGGAAGTTTATCAAGATCTATTTCACCTTGCTGAATCAGTTGTGTCCATTCCACTCTAAAGAAGTACAAAGACAGAAAGATTCGCCTTAATTTGCCGTAAACACGTACCGCTATAATGCTAAATAATCACAGAAAGATGTTCTTTCGAGTTCAGGACAGCTAGACTTTCATTAATTGCTTCTTTAGACTCACAGAAAAGAACATGTTTTACATTATCCGACAGAGACATGACAAAAATTTTGAAGGAAAATTTTGTCATTTTGTTTACAATTTCGACAAAGTTCTTCAATCATTGTAAATTTCGTTCCAACCAGACGTGGCCGTCAAAGTTGCCCCCAGATTGTTATTTTTTAAAGATTTCTCGATGTTAGCAATTGTTCACCAAATCAGTTGAATTAAAATACCTGCCATTTAACTTTCTTAAAATTTATGAACCTTTTTGAGTACTTGTCCTTAATTAAAAAGGCCAAATGTTTCATGTCATCGTGATTTGCAAAGCTCGGTGCATTTGGCAGGTGATTTCTGGATGTTTATCAGTTGCAATGTTTAGAGATAAGAGGAAATACAGTGATAAACAAAACAAACGCTTGTTTTAAATTTGGACGTGGAGCTTGAATCCAGGGGGTTTTTACAGCGAAAAAGGGGGAATTGAATTGTAACAAGATAAACCAAATTTATAAACCAGATTCTATCGACAAAAAAGGAAAAAAACAGAAACAAAAACAAAACAAGACAAAAACGTAATAAAAGAAAACGTTATGAGAATAGAAGGCTCAAGCATTTTCATTGTGGAAGAAGTTCATAAAGAAAAGAATCTTCATTCATTTATTTCTTCTAGAAATTGTGACTGAGAATGACTGAGAACACCAACGTTTCATCAGAAAGAGAAAGTGATGGAATTAAGGGAAGAAACTTTCCACATTTGTTCGTATTTTTTAACTGATTTTAACATCAATGTCTGGCTGAAAATGCTACTTGAATATGCCCCAGAATGCTGGAAAACATGTCACAGAGTTTTGCATTTCAAAATTTTTCGGGGAGCATGCCCCCGGACCCCCTAGAGAGGCGTGTTACAGAGGAACACGCCCTGCTTGCTCCGCGAGCAAAATTTATTTCCGCCACCTACTCAGTTCAGATCAGACACCTATTACATTTTCTAATGACAACCCTGATAGTTTATGATGGTTACGTTTCAAATAGCCCAGTCACCATTTTTTTTGTAAAGGACACCGGTGAAGGTCTACTGTATCCTTACACTAGACAAAAAGTATACAACAGACTAAGCTATGCACACTTTGCTCATGGATTGATAACTGTGTTTTCTTCGCATAAGTTTTTGTGACATTTAACAATCATGGAACAAATTGCAAACAAAATCAAAATGGGTTAGGATCCATGCTATATGTGGAATTGTCTGATCTGAGAATGTTTTCAAACAATTGTCAGACAATTCTCTTGACCATTTTTCAAGCACTCTTTTTTGACTGGTACAAAAATCATCATAGAAAGCCTGGTCAAGTTACATAATACACTCCCATCAGTAAACAATATGTATAGAAACATTCGCATTCACATGTTGCTAAACGAGAGTTTGATAACCCCATGGACAGACACACCACAAATGTAGTGAAGCGTTACAACCATCTGCCTTATGAGCTCTCCTGAGTAGAGAGGTATATTCCTGCACGCTATGGAGAAATCAGTGTTGAAGTGATCGCAGACAACATTGTAAGCAGCTGTGCGGAGGAATGGAGATTCCATGCCAGTCAAATTTCAACTGCTCAAAAAAATTGTACATGAAAGGCTTGAAAGAACAAGGCAAGCAAAAATCGGCTTTAGAATCTGAAGATGCCAAAGAGGGCTCCTTCAAGAGCCACCATTTCTACCGAAAGCAATGATCAACGACAAGTTTTAACATGTTTAATCTTAATTCATTGAAGGTTCTAATTTCAGTTTATGACCCCTACAAGCCAGTTTACTCTCTGTGAAAGCAATGGTGTCGTGTTTAAGAAATGACGAAGAAAGCACGTACGCAACCCCCGAACTCACCTTATGACGCTGAGGTTTTCAGTCTTCTTGTGCTGGACGATAATTCAGTTAACCACTGGACTTACAAAAGCAGAAGTTCTGAAAAGAAGAAAATGCTAGTTAACTTTAAAATCACACAAACTAACTGTTACTTGAATAAAGGCTATAAGTTTTCAGCTTTTTTATTCATTAAGGTGGCCAATTTACAATTTCAACTGAGTTGATATAACCAAATTGGGCGTGTTTAAAACACGAAATGACGAAATGGCAAAAAAGCGAAATGGAACTTAAGACAAGAGCCAAAGTTGTAAGGTATTACCGATCC